AAAAAAGGAGAGGTAAGGATTGTTATCCAAAATATACACAAGAACTCATAACACTCAACAATAGAAAACAACTCAATTTAAAAATGAGCAAAAGACCTTAACAAACATTTCATCAAAGAAGATATACAGATGGCAAATAAGCACAGGAAAAGATGCTCCACATCTATATCAAGGAAATGCACATTAAAACAATGAGATACCACCACATACCTATTAGAATGACCAAAATTTGAAATATTGCCAACAGTAAATGCTGGTGAGGATATGGCACAATAGAAGCTATCATTCATTGGAACACAGTTTGGTAATTTCTTACAAAACTAAACATATTGTAGCTAAAAATTTCTTCTTATAATCCACTCCTTGGTATTTATCCAAAGGAATGAAAACATTTCCACACAAAAACCTGCACACAACTGTTTAGAGAAGCTTTATTTATAATTCCCAAAATTTGGAATCAACCAATGTGTCCTTCAATAAGTGAATGGTTAAATAGTGGCACATTCACACAATGGAATACTGTGCGGCACTGAACAAAAAAACTATCAAGCTATAAAAAGACAGAGAGGAAACTTAAATGCATATTACTAAGTGAAAGAAGCCAATCTGAAAAAGGTTACATAGTGTATGTTTCCAAGTACATGACATTTTGGAAAAGGCAGAACTGGAGACAGTAAAAAGATCAGTGGTTGCCAGGGCTTGGGGGTAGGAGGAATGATGAATAGGCAGAGCACAGAGGATTTTTAGGGCAGTGAAAATACTCTGTGTTAGTATAATGATGGCTGCACATTATTATACATTTGTCCAAACTCAGAGAATGTACAACACTAAGAGTAAAGCTAAAGGTACACTATAAACTTTGGGTGATTATGATGTGTCATGTAGGTTCATCAATTGTTAACAAATGTACTACTCTGATAGGTAATTTTGATAATGGGGAAGGCTACACATGTGTGAAGGTAGGGGGTAAATGGGAAATCTCTGTACCTTCTGCTCAATTTTTCTGTGAAACAAAAACTGCTTTAAAAATCATAATTCTTTAAAAAAC